AGGAATGGAAGGTTAATATAGGAAAACAGTAGGATACAAATTAGAGGAAGACCCAGTGTCCAGGCCTCGACTGCCAAGTTAAGAATTGACCCCGTTGACAGTGCAGAGAAAACCACACTGTTTAAGCTCCAGCGAAGAGTGTAGTCTGGGATTTGAATCCTAGTTCCACCACCTCCTAGGTGTGCCTTGGACTAGTTCCTTAACCTGAGCTTTCATTCTCTTCTTTGTAAAATATGGATACTTTGCAAGCCATGAAGTTTAGATGAAAGTGCACAATGCACACAGAAGAGGCTCAGCCCCCAGTGGCTACTCCAATATCAGCTGTTTTTAACACTTCTTACCAGGAAAAAAAGATTAATCTTCATAAAATTGTCTTGATGATCTGATAGCAGCATGCAAGACGGGAAGAGGAAAGAGGCTGTAAAGATGGTGAGGAAACCAGTTAGGAAGCTACTGTACTAGACTAGCATGAGGTTTAAGGAGGAACTGAGAAGGATGAAAGCTCCCTACATTAATTGAATCTGAAGGGCTTATGACAGGTTAAGGCTATTTCAGCTGGTTACACACAAAAACCATTTTTCCTGGGCATTTCTTAAACAGCATCACGTTACTATAGGCAGAGGTACTGAAGGCAGTGCGGCATTTGAAAGATACTGACACAGGAGATCTCTGTGACTCTGGGTTTGGTGACAAGTTTTTATATACAACAAGAAAAGCATGATCCCCAAAGGAAAAAAGTGATAAAATGGACTTCCTCAAAATTAAGAATTTCTCAAAAAAATCATTTCTGTTCTTTGAACAGTGCTGTTAAGAGAATGAAAAGACAAGCCACAGGCAGGTAGAAAATATTTGCAAATCACATAATCTAGCAAAGGACTTGTACTCAGAACATATGAAACTCTGAAACCCCAACAAAAAGAAAATAACCCAGTAAAAAGATGAGCAGAAGATTTGGACAGTTCAAAGAAAATATATAGACAGTAAACAAGCAAATGAAAAGATGTTCAACATTATTTGTCATTAGAAAAATGCACATTAAAACCAACACCCACTAAAAGAGCTAAAATTAAAGCAGTAAAAACTGATACCGAGTTTTGCAGAGGATGCAGAGCAGCTGAAGCTCTGGTTCACTGCTGGTGGGAATGCAAAATAGTACAGACACTTTAGAACACAGTTTGGTGGTTTCTGGTAAACTGAAATATGCAATTCCACCGAAGTGAAATCAAGTCGTATGGTCACACAAAACCTGTACCAAAGGCTTATAGGGCTTTATCTGTAATCATCAAAACCGGAAACAAGAAAAAATTTTGAGATTTTTAAAAGGAAAAAGAGAGAAAAAGAAAAAACAGGAAACAACCCAAATTGGGAATTATCCATTCACCTGTGGAATGGATAAACAAATGGTATATCCATACAAAGGAATGCTACTCAGCAATAAAAAAGAACAGACTGCTGATACCTGCAACAACATGGATGAATCTCAAATGCACTATGCTAAATATAAAAAAGTCAGATTCAAAGGCTACTACTGTGTGATTCCATTTATATGACGCTTTGGAAAGATGGGTGGGCAAAACCATGGTCTGTGGGTCAAATGTGGCCTGCTGTGTTTCTGTATGGCCTATAAGCTAATGATGGCTTTTACATTCTGAAATGGTTGAAAAAAAAAGGCAAAAGATTTCATGACACATTAAAATTATATAAAATTTAAATTTCAGTGTCCAGAAATAAAGTTTTTTTGAGGTACAGCCACGCTCATTCCTGTATGTGTTGACTGTGGCTGCTTTTGAACTACAACAGCAGAGTTGACTAGTTGTGACAGAGCTTATGTAGCCCATAAAACTTCAAGTATTTTCCACATGGCCCTTTCCAGAAAATGTCTGCTGACTCCTCCTCTGGGGGCAGAGAATAGCTAGATCAGTGGCTGCCAAGGTAAAGGGTAGGAAGGAGTTTAACCGTGAGGGAATTTGGGGGAGGTGACACAACTGTTGTATCTTAATTGTGGTGGTGGTTACATGACCCTGCATCTGTCAAAACTCAGAACTGTACACCAAAAAGCGGATTTTAAAATATTTTACAATAAATTTTAAAAACAAGACGGACAGAAAACATCAGTGATTGATTGCCTGGGGATAAGGGAAGGAACTAACTCCAAGGGTACGCAGAGGAATGTTTGGGGTGATGGAACTGTTCTATACATTGATTGCTTACACAACCAACAGAATGGACATTAAAGGGTGATTCTACTGGATGAAAATTCGAACTCAATTGGAAAAAAAAAAAGAGAAAAGGCAAAAGCCAAAATTTACCCTATGTGAAAAAAAAATTGGGCTTATGGTTTTCTCTTGTGGACAGTAAAAACAATTACTATGGGTGTAAAGAAAGGAGCAGTAAAACGAGATCTTCAGTATACAAAATGCTTTATAATTTTTTAAGAAAAACGTGCTTACGCAGAGGTAATATTTCTTACTGCATTTGATCTAATAATTTGACTTGAAATTTTTCTCCAGGAATAAAAGTATTAGAAAAAGTGCTCATTTTTGGACCTCCCCGGTGGTCCAGTGGTTAAGACTGCACTTCCACTGCAGGGAGCGCAGGTTCGATCCCTGGTTGGAGAGCTAAGATCCCACATGCCTCACGGCGCCGCCAATAAAAAGGAAAAATAAAAAGAAGAAAGTACTCATTTTAAAATTTCACAAATGTTTCCAGATAATAAGAAGGGCATTAGAATAACAGAGGATTCTAAAACTAGTTTCATAAAACATTTCACTATAAAAATATATACAGCTTTTAAAAAAGAAAAATTTATTTCTTTACAGTTAAAAAAAATGCAGTATTTGGACATATACAAAGCCATAAACGTTCTTCAAATACGAAAATTCAAATGTAACATACTACCCAGAGACTACACATTTAGCTAAAACAGGATCTAGCTGTTCACAAGAACGAATTTCAAAATATACATATGTGAATTTACACACTGATATTTAGAAGTTCTTCAAAATCTATCTGTAAACTAGAAAGTTAAGCAAAGTTGTCTTTGCCTCTATAGCTTACAGCTGCAGACTGGCTGTGTCTCACGGTACGCAGCCCCTCCTTGGTCCTCTCCCACCCCAGCTGCAGTGTGGGCCTGGAGAAGAGAAGCTGCTGTCTGTGTTCCTTTCCTTTGGGCTATTTATGGCAGAGGTACGTTATGCTTGGTCTCAGCCAGGAACGAACATCATGTACGTGAAGTCTCTGAAGCGTGAACAGACTAATGCCTGCTCCAGAGCAAAGGTGCTGATCCATGAGGGTCCTCACCAGGCTGATCTCTAAAGCACTTCTTTCTGGTTTAGGATTCCGCTTCATCGTCATCACTCTCATCGTTGTTGTCATCCTCCTCCTCCTCCTCTTCCTCCCTCTTCTCTTTAAGCGTTTTCAGATATTTACTAGCTAAAATCTTCTTTGGTAATATATCTTAAAAACATAAAGCTACCATCAGCAATGCAAATTTCAAACGTGCTAGTTCCTGCTATGACCTCTAACACAGGTTCCAAGACAAGTCAAAATTCAGACTACATAGCAGGAAACCAGCACTGCCTCTGGACGAAGGCTCAACACCTGTATCTATTCCAGTGGCTGCAAACCACACTCTGCTCTGTGCCGGCACCCACTAGGAGCAGCCCTGCCCGACCCATGTGACACAGCGGCTGGCCCCAAGGGTCACCGGACGCTCTTTTTTAGCTGTGGTGCAAACAGCCTGTTCCACAGCAACAACTATGGGTTTCTGCTTCCCCAGCCAAGTAAGGACGAGTCTGAGGGGGTGGGCTGCCCAGCTCCCACACCCACCCAGACAGCCCCGTGCAGGTGCCAACTTAATTCCTGCTCTAGGTGAACTGCATTACAAACATGCTCCACTAAACAAAACTAAAACTCTCGCCCCATACCAGGTAAACTCTGACACCTGGAAAAAGCAGCAAAATGTCATTTTCAGTGGAAGCAGAAAAAGAGCAGGGAAAAGGCTGTTTTTTAACCAGAATGTTCCAAAGGCTAAGTACCTGCAAGAAACTGAAACGTTTCCGATTCCTCTGCGGTATCTGATAAATCACTGTAAGTGAGTGCTTTCTTTTCTTTTCCACCGCCGTGTCTGTAGGAATAGGTGGCGAGATATTGAACAAAGAGTTCCTAAAACAAAATGAGAAAGTTAAGATGAAAGGTGTGCCCTGAAAATTTACCACAGACCTTACTTTTTAATTACATTAAGTTTAGATGATTTCAGATTATCTTGGTTCATCGAATTGCAGAAAATCACTGGAGAAAGGAGACGTACGAGGTCGGAAAGAAAGCAAGGCTGAATTAAAATTGGCAGGGCAGCAGAAATTTCCCGAAAGTTTATATTATTTATTTTGTTTGTTTGTTTGTTTGTTTGCGGTACGCGGGCCTCTCACTGCCGTGGCCTCTCCCGTTGAGGAGCACAGGCTCCGGACGCGCAGGCTCAGCGGCCACGGCTCACGGGCCCAGCCGCTCCGCGGCACGTGGGATCTTCCCGGACCGGGGCACGAACCCGTGTCCCCTGCATCGGCAGGCGGACTCTCAACCACCGCGCCACCAGGGAAGCCCTCGAAAGTTTATTTTAGATTTCTAACTTACGAAAAATATTTTAAAACCATACAACAAGGAATCGTGTTTGTTTAATGCCCAATCTCTAGTTAGAAGGGGAGGCAAGAGACCATCCAAAAATTCTATGCCAGGAACAGACCTGTATTTGACTACACTGTGTCTAAGGTGGTCCGCCGACAACTGTAACAGTCACTAGCTTAAAGGTAAAAAATGGTCAGCTTGCCACTCTGCCCGGACACCTTTCCGAGGGCAGAGCCCACCTGAGCTGAGCCCCTCTCTGTTCTACTTTCACTCCATCCAAGTTAGTCAAGAAGGGAATAAGAAGTGCCTGCAAATCTCTTAATTCCTGAAGACCTACAGAACGAAACTACAGCTATCCCAAGACCATGTGATCCCCCCGCCCTTAGCTCTGACCAACTCACCGCACCGGACACCGTCTACCGAACTAGCCGGCCTGGGAAACAGACTCGAAGGGAAGTTAAAGCAAGTGAGGGAGACTCTGCAGCAGAAACCTGGCCCAGAATAAGAACAGGAAGGTCTGGCCTACCTAGACCAAATTAAGAGACAAAATCATCTATCTGGACCTAGGAGGGGGCTAAAACTGAGGTCTCCGAAATTACTTCAATTCTGGCCCAGGAGACTGGGAGAGGGTGGGCGAGCGGCTGGGCCGGGCCGTACCTCCTGAGGGAGCCGCCGGCCCTCTCAATGAACCGTTTTGAGGAGCTGGGGCCCAAAGCCGCGAAACAGGCCGGAAGCGACAAAAGGAGAGGCTCTGGGGCCCGGAGTACGGTGACTGGGAAAGGAGGAGGAGACACCAAAGAAGGCCCGCGCGCCTCCACGCTACCGCCCAGGCCAAACCCGCGCGAGGAAGGGGGGGCGGGGGGAGCGGAGCGGGCGTGGCGACCAGCGCGCGAGGGAGGGCGGGAGCGGAGTGGGCGGGGAGACGGGCGCGCGAGGGAGGGCGGGAGCGGAGTGAGCGGGGAGACGGGCGCGCGAGGCGCCGGATGGGCGGGGCGAAGAGCGCGCGCGGGAGCTGGGGCGCGCGCGGCGTGGGAGGGGAGTGGGGCGGCTTTCAAAAGGGCGCGCGCGCGCACGCGAAGGGGACTGGGCAGCTCGGCGGGGCCCGGCGGGGCGCGATGGTTCCGGGTGGGCCCCACCGCCGCCCCACGCTCCTCACTCCTCCCCGCGCTGCCAGCCTCACCGTGGCCTTGGCCGTGAGCACCAGCGCCTCCTGGTTGATGCTGGACACCTCGGGGGAGCTCTTCATGATGACCCGGATGCGGGACAGGGGCAGCGACACCAGCCGCTGCTCGCCGCACTTCTCCTTGCCCACGACCACGTCCGCCATCTCTGCGCCCCGCCCCCGCGGCGGCAGCCCCCTACCCGCCGCGAGGTGGCCGGCCAACACGGTCGGTGCGGGATCGGCGTCCCGCTGCCCCGTGGGAGTTGTAGTGTCGGGAGGCGCGGCCGCGGGACGGACTACAAGCCCCGTGATGCCGCGCGCCCCCGAGGCTGTGCAGACGGAGCGGAAGGTTGGCCCGCAGATTCGGCGGGGCGGGGGCGGGGGGCGACCGTGGGTGGGGGTTCTACTTGTGTGATGCTGAGAAGTACCGTGAAGGAAAACAAAGCAGTGTAAGAAGATAGAAACCGGGTCAGTAAAGGAGAAGGCTGGGCAGCGAAGAGAGAAAACAGCCCTGTTTATGAGAAAGCGCTTTGCGGGGGTGGGGGGGAAAGGAGCGACAGGCAAAGGCCTTTCAAGAAGCCCAAAATGACCGCTGTGTGGACCAGGTGTGCTAGGTGAAGTCTGAGAGGTAGCCAGGGACTAGGTCCTGTTGGATTTTATTCTAAGAAAAATGGGAAGCATCAGAGGGATGATGGGCTGTGTCTTTAAGTTTTCGAAAGATCCCTCTGGCTGCTGAGTGTGAATAGACCAGAGGGGAGTCGTGAGGATAGGGAGGTTGTAAGGGTGGAAACAAAGAGATTGTAGAGTAGAAGGTGATTGCAGGTGATGAACTGGATGCCAGTGTGGCTACGGCGAAATGAGCTATAGGAGAAGAATGATGAGAAGTAGCCATGGGCCAGACCAGATAGGGCCTTGTACGTCATGGAATTCCTTCCCAGACAGTTGGGAGGCCTGGGGAAGGGTAAGGTGGTCCCACTTAAGTTTTACAAGGAATACTCAGGTTGCCGTGTGTGAATAGACCGGAGAGGGGCGGGAACGGAGGCGGGCAGAGAGTGCAGTTAGGAAGCTGTAACGGGGATGGAGGCAGACGATGGGTTAGACTACCGTGGAGGTCGTAGAAGTAGGGAAGGATTGGGGATCTAATTTGCAGAGCCAACGGTTGTCGACGAAAATTCAAGTAACTATCAAGTTAAGAAGAAAAAAAGGGATTTTATTAGAGCCAAGCTGAGGATTATCACCTGGGAAGCAGATGCTCAGAAAGCTCTGAGAGCTCTTGCTCCTGTTAGAAGTCGAAGGTATAGTCTGTACATTTTTGAGACAAAGGATCGTACATCAAAATGACGTACTGATGTTTTACTTAAAGTTCACCAAGGATACATAGACCAGGTAAGCACGTACAAAGCGGGCAGCAAGTCACCATGACCCCCCTGCAGAGCTGGGAAAGAACAATGTTCTTTTAAGAAGTTACGTTGCTAGCGTCAGAAGAAAAAAAAAAATTGATCTTTACGGTTGAGCAGGCACTGCCATCTTTGAGGAGCGCTAACGCGTAGCGCTAACGCAGATGCATACTGCACATTAGGGGGAGAGGGACGAGGCCCAAACAAACAGAGAATTTTATGATGAATTTTTTTCCTTGTCCTTCCCTAAAATAGAAATTTTATTTCATCAGGGTCTTGCTAATGTGATGTGGAGTATGAGTGAAAGGATGGTAGTGCTGTTTACTGAGATGGGGAGCCCTGCGGGAGGAGCAAATTTAGCAGAGGCGTAGCTTGGAGCAAGTTAAGTCTCAGTTGCCTGTGAACCCTCGTGGCAATGTTGAGGAGCGAATTGGCTGTTCCAGTCTGGAGTTCAGGCTGGAGCAGTGAATTACAAGCCACCCTTGTCTAGGTGGGAATTGAAACCAAGGACCTGAGTGAAAGTGCCCGGGGGAGACTGTGGATAAAGTGGAGATAGCTAAGGACCACGAACTGGGGCGCTGCAGCGTTCTGAGGTGGGGAGAGGGAAATCCAGCAAAAGAAACTGGGACGAAGTGGCCATTGAGTAAGAGGAAAACCAAGAGATCGTGTGACCATAAAGTCAGTCGAAGAAAGTTTTTCTGAAAGGAGAAACTGATCAGCTGGATTGAATACTGCTAGGAGGTGGAATAAAATCGTCCCACCATTCACAACGGCGTGACCCTGGGCAAAGCAAGTACTCTCTCTGAACCGCTGTTTCCTCATTTGCCAAGATGAGACAGGAGAGTCGCGCCTGTCTCGGGCTTGTTAAAAGGTGTGAACATGCCTGGCACATGAAGATTAAAGTCGTCCCCCCATCCATCCAGCACTGCCTCCCTCACAGGTCACCAGGGAGCATCAAAGGAGCTGAGAACAAGAAAGCTCTTTGTGTCAACTGTACAGCACCCTGCAAAAGCCTAAACTACTCTGTAAAGTCTCAGGGTTCCTGCTGCAAGGTCCTGTCACTCCAATCAACTTTGATTTCAAAGTTCATATCTGGGGCTTCCCTGGTGGCGCAGTGCTTGAGAGTCCGCCTGCCGATGCAGGAGACGCG